TCGGGACGGGAAAGCTAAAGCCCATTTCCCAGCTGGCCTTGCGGTGGGGACCAGGGTCCATCCGGGCAGGAGTCCGCGGTGGGCAAGGCTCACACCAGGAAATCTGGCCCCGGGCAGCTCTCGGATGGCAGCTGTGGGTTTTGGCCCGAGCGCCACGTGGGGGAGGGGGCCGGGCGTTTCCGGCTGGATCCCTGACCCTGCTCCCGGCAAGCACGTCCCCGGCTGTCCTGGGATTGCGAAGCCACCTAACACTTGCTCTTTTAAAAAGCTGACTTGGAACCCCCGATACGCGGGAAAGCGGCGCTCGGAATGCTGGGTCTTGTATGCAAATCTCTGCCCAGCTCCTTCAGGAACTCCACGCTAAACCTTTCTGCAGTTGGATCTTACTTAAACCTGAAAGTATCGACAGCAGAAGAAAGCCTCGGGGCAGGTATTTCTTAAAACCCCCTTCCAGCCTCGCTCTGTTGAATGGACTTTGTGTTTTCAGTGTATTCTATCTGTGGCCAACCAAAAGTTAGAAATGATCGGCTCTGGAGGCCAACCTCAGCGTGTACCAATGCACTGTGGCACAACTCCAACGTGAATTAATTAACAGAAGGCTCTCTGGGGATAAAAAGACAACCTTGTGGAAGTAAAAGGTCCGTAAATGTTGTCTGAATTGATCGATGTTTGCACAAACTCTTGCCTGAAATCTGTGGACACAGTTGTCGAAATCCTGTCCTTGCTTTGTTTTATGGAGACAAGTCTCCCCTTGTAAATGACAGCCACGTTCCATGACCACGGGGTGCACTGCCAATGCCATTTTTGTATACTCATTTTCACGGAGTTTTTCAAATTCTGCACTTTCTGACTCGTCTGATACAACTGCAGGTTTCTGCCGGGTAACCGACTTGTACTTGACCAAAAGGAAAATGAACTTGAGTGAAGAACCGGTTGGGTCCATCCATCGCCGGGAGTGGCTCCATGCCCGATGCGGCCTCTGCCCCTCAGTTCAACGCCATCGACTGGTCCATAAGCTGCGTGGTCTGCCCTCCCCTTTAATCTCCACCCTGGCTGAGAATGATTCTAGCGGACTCTTAACCACAGAAAACACAGTGATGGTTACCAGAGGGGAGGTGGGGAGGGGGGGTAGAAACGGGAGACGGGGATTGGGTGATGAGCACAGGGTGCTATAGAGAGGTGTTGAATCACCCTAATATACACCCAGAACTAATATTACACTGTATGTTAACTAACTGGAATTTAGATAAAAACTTGAAAAAAAAGATGCTGATTCCAGAGAACAGGGACTATGTGCCATCCACCTCTCCAGAGGCCACGGGAATTTGCCCATCATGAACAAACACTAAATATGTTGTCCTAAATGAATGATTCCAGAAAGAGTCACCCGCAGGCGGTGATAATTTGCATTTGACAAAAAAGGAAGCCGTGACATGCCTCCTGGCCCCCTGCATCAAAAGCAAATCCTGACAGGGGCGCCTGGGTGGCTCAGTCGGTTAAGCATCTGACTTCGGCTAAGCTCATGATCTCGTGGTGTGCGAGTTTGAGCCCCGCGTCAGGCTCTGTGCTGACAGCTCAGAGCCTGGAGCCTGCTTCGGATTCTGTGTCTCCCTCTCTCTCTGACTCTCCCCTGCTCATGCTGTCTCTCCCTGTCTCAAAAATAAAATAAACATTAAAAAAAAAAAAAAAAAGCAAATCCTGAGAGAAGCGAAGTCATTGCTGAGGGCTGACATCGCCCCTGATGTGTGCGTACCAAGGTCTAAGTCCAGCTAGGGGCAAAAGGAAACCCAGGATGTGTGTGGGAAGTGAAGAGACAACCGTTTGCCAGTTATATTTGCACATAGGGGCCGCTCACAGAGGCAGTGGCTTCATTTAGCTTAAAAATCAGGGGCGCCTGGAGCCTGTTTCCGATTCTGTGTCTCCCTCTCTCAGCCCCTCCCCCACTCACACCCTGTCTCTCTCTCAAAAAGTAAACATTTTTTAAATGTCTTAAAAACTTTTTAACATAAATATAAAAAGTAAATAAAAATCATGGGACACCTGGGTGGCTCAGTCGGTTAAGCGTCCGACTTCGGCTCAGGTCATGATCTCGTGGTCCGTGAGTTCGAGCCCCACGTCGGGCTCTGTGCTGGCAGCTCAGAGCCCGTAGCCTGCTTCCGATTCTGTGTCTCCCTCAGTGTCTGTGCCTCCCCCTCTCACACTCTGTCTCTCTCAAAAATAAATAAAACATTAAAAAAAAAAAAAAGAATATTCCCCAAAGCACAGAACTTATAGAACACTGGGCGTTCTCACTTGAAACAAAAGATGAATCGACATAGCATCACATCATTTTTATTTTTATCCTACTCATCAAAAGGGGTTGTTTTCACTAAAAACTAGAAATTAGACATCACAGCGATGACCACACCGTCAACTGCCACGCGGATAACACTGTAGGAATCACCGGGCCCCCCCCCCAAATCCCTTCCCTTTGGGGCATTTTGTTTATATTTGAAATTCCAGTAAATGAAAATTGTGCCCTTAAGGAACAAATGTCTGCCTAAATGCGGTCTGAGGAGAGTAACAGACTGAACATCTGCGTTACCTCGGATGAGTATGAGCCTAAGAAATGAGCGACCACGAAAAGAAACACGAGACAGCCATCTGTCCGTCTTTCTGCAAAGCACCAAAATAGCCGCTGGAACTTAATGTCCCTCACTTACCACCAGTGACCACCGGAAGCACCATTAGGAGTTCTCTTCAGCTCACGATACAAGTAATATTCCGAAGAAAAAAGTTTTTAAGTTTTTTAACTTTATTTATTTTGAGAGTGAGACAGAGCGGGGGAGGGGAAGAGAGACTTTTTTTTTTTTTTTTCCTAAACAAAGTCCTTTTTAGAAACCTCATCTTCTCTCTCACAGAACAGTCTACCAGGGGCGGAAACACAGGCGTCCCTCCACCGACACCCCCTCGTGAAGGCAGCTCTTCCGGGGGGACCCCAAGTTCCCCGGTGGTCTAGTGGTTAGGATTTGGTGCTCCCTCTCTCCCGGGGGGACCCCACATAGACGGGTGTCCCCAGCTCTGGCCTCCGGAGCCTGGGGCCGAGAGCCATCACCCCTGTAGGCTTCCCAAGTGATTAAGAGCTCTCGGCCCTTGAGTAAAGAGACACCCTGCACCTTCGCACGAGCTTCCCGAACATGTCTGGCCCTGGAACTTGCTCCTTCCTCTGCTGCACCGAACACGCTCAGAAGCAATCGTTTCCTAGCACACCATGCACGGCTCACTGCGAGCAGCACTGCGTAAGTCGCTGGTCTCCTCCAGGGGTCGCGGGTGGGATTCCCGTGTGGCCCAGCACGCCTGCCACTGTCCCACGCACAGACAGGCAGCGCAGGTCCTCAAGGGGACGAGGTCATCTCTGGCATCGGGGTGCGAACACCAAGCCCCTTTCCTGCTCTGTTCAACCCGGCCACGAGCATTCACTTCTGGGCAGGAACTGAGTAGACAGAATTCCAGGATTCACAGCTGGAGGCTTTCCAGAACCATCTATGGTGAACAGAGGAGTTTAAGATTTCAAGAGAAAACTATACGCTTAAAAACGGATAGCCTTTTGTGTGAATGTATCAGTGACTTTCTTTTTTTTTTTTTTTTAAGGAAAAGCAAAAAACAAAAACCCTGAAAAACCGTTGTCGGTTGTGGTTATTAAGCCCTATCAATATTGTTACCCCACGTCATGAAGCGAATTTCCTAAGGTTGGTCACCGCAAGATCAGGCACCCACGCTTAACCGCGTTGTGAATGTACCTTTTCAGGACGCTGGCACCCAAATTCATTACACAGGTCACCACGCGGGATTGGGTGACCACGCTATGTTCCAGGGCACGCTCCCACCTGGAAACAAGGCTGTCCGTTGAGTCTGCACGCAAGAGCTTGTCGGCCCTTTTAGAAGTTAATGATCTGGGGGCGCCTGGGTGGCTCAGTCGATTAAGCGTCCAACTTTAGCTCAGGTCTTGATCTCCCGGTTTGTGAGTTCAAGCCCCGCGTCGGGCCCTGTGCTGATGGCTCAGAGCCTGGAGCCTGTTTCAGATTCTGTGTCTCCCGCTCTCTGACCCTCCCCCGTTCATGCTCTGTCTCTCTCTGTCTCAAAAATAAATAAACAAATAAATAAATAAATAAATAATAAAGAATCTTAAAAAAAGACTTAATTAAAAAAAGTTACTCAACAGTCAACCAGGACCACGAGCCGCGTATTTCTAGAAAGTTTATAATGCTGTTAATCTTTGCCATTAGGGGACATTTAAGTTGTACGTCCTACTGCAATAACATTCTTAAACTCTAATTCTGAGAGCTGTAATTATATCACGCAATGATGTTTCGATTACCTATAAAGTTTAATTTACTGCGGACATAAGACCTAATGAATACATGTGAAAACCTACTAATTTCGTTCAAGAAAATGGCTACATAATCAGAAATGCAAGCACATAGACTAGCCCAGCTGAGATGGGAAACATCAGTGGAAAATATCACTTAGTCGTTTGTACTTTTACAGCTCACTACTTATTTCCCTAGATGGCTTATTTCTAATTATTATGAGGAGTACCGTACACCATGCTGTTATCCTAAATTCTTTGACAGTTCTCAAGTATCATTGGTAACGGGCAAATCACAGTCGCTCTTTTTCTGCAAAAGAAATAAAGCACCGTGCTAGGAATGCAAAAGACCATTTTTTTTTTAATTTTTTTATTTATTTTTGGGACAGAGAGAGACAGAGCATGAACGGGGGAGGGGCAGAGAGAGAGGGAGACACAGAATCGGAAACAGGCTCCAGGCTCTGAGCCATCAGCCCAGAGCCCGACGCGGGGCTCGAACTCACGGACTGCGAGATCGGGACCTGGCTGAAGTCGGACGCTTAACCGACTGCGCCACCCAGGCGCCCCTAGACCGACTATTTCTAAATACAGCGAGAGAAATTATCTTTCAGTTTTTACGCTGAAAACTGCATCCTAAATTTCAAAAAGTCTATTCCCTACCTTCATCCAGAGATCATAGTTTCCGATTGTTCTGATTTCTGATTCCTCTCTGACACACCTCATCGACTTTGCCCGCTGTTTTACAGAGTAAGACATCAGACTCTGACCTTCATGCATACGTTAGCCAGCTCCAGACCAGCGTTCACGTCCAGCCGACTTCACCTCTCCTGTTCCAGGTTCGCTCAGTGACTCCAGAAAAGCTACAGCTCTGGGCACGACCTCCCAGGCGTGTCTGTGCGAATCTCATCATCCCTCTTCACTTGCTTAAGGGCTTTATTCTTAAGAGAAAGACCTGTGCTCGCTTCGGCAGCACATATATTGAAATATGTTAAGAGAAAGAGCAAAACTCTCACCCCAGCCCCATCCTGGACACCCTTACGTCCCCCCTGCCTTCCACACCAGGCGTTAGTGCTGCACTGAAAACTGCCCTTGTGACTTGTTCCCGGACCCCTTCTCACCATGGCTCACAGGCCCCTAGACAATGTGCAGTCACAAAATGGGGACCTTAGCGGAGCACCCGGAACCCAGCAACCATCAACAGATGATGGCTTTTCCCGGTTTAAAAACACCTTGAGGGGGCGTCTGGGTGGCTCAGTCGGTTAAGTGTCCGACTTCAGCTCAGGTCATGGTCTCGTGGTTCATGAGTTCAAGCCCCTTGTCAGACTCCTCACTTAACAGTGCAGAGCCTACTTGGGATTCTCTCTCTCCCTCTCTGCCCCTCCCCTGCTTGCTCTCTCTCTCTTTCAAAATAAACATATAAACTTAAAAAACATAAAAACTTGAGGCACAAAGGATGGGCCACACAAAGAGAGGGTGCTGCGGTTTCTATAGCCGGCAGCCTGAAGGGGCCCCCTGGAGTTGTGAGAGAGCAACCCCACACTCTCGTGTCACTTCCTTCACACGACAGTGTCCCCCACGGCCGTCTCTCACTTCTCCTCTTTCCAGCAAGCATCTCTTCTGGGATGTTCCGCACCGCAGGGCGCCCCAACGGGCTCCTGGCTGCGTTGCCATTGGCTCACAGCTCATGGAGGCAGAGAGGGAGGTGAGCATGTCCCAAGTGGCCCAGCCACCAGCCAGGCGCCGTGCCAGGGCGTGAACTGGGGATCTCAGACGACCTGCTCTCCACCTTACTCTCAGCCCCGCTGCACTACGATGAGCAAATGACACAAAGGGCACCTCGCCGAAACACTCCATCATCTGGTGTCACTGCCGAGCGCACACCAGAAGCACGAAGAAAGATCACTCAAGGCCAAAGGGTATCTGGTGGGAAACTACTCAGAATACATCTGCAGTAAGTGTTAAGGTGGCCAAGAGGGAATTAAATGGAGCTCTGATCAACTGTGACAGCTGATCTGACCCCTTAATACTAAAAATACAGCCAGGACATGTCATTTCTATTTTGACACCATAAACCCCTTAGGTTTTTAATTATTAATTTTTTCATAATTTAAAGTTATATTCATTTTTACCAATTAAAAAGTTCTGAAGTTTTCAGTAGCAAATACCATTAAACTAATATATATTTGTGCATACACACGTAATTAGAAATCATCCATGGCACCTCCCGCCAAGCTAAAAAAAGGGTAAAAGTCAACCAGGGAATAAATAGCCGCTTACTTTTGAGACGTAACACAGGGCAGAAGGAACTAACATCTTAACATTAGAAAAATCTTCCATGATACCAATATCAAGCTATAGTTTCTTTTCTCCTTTTAAAAAGATTTATTTCCATCTGACCGTGTGAAACTGACGTAATCGCCAATTAGAGCCCCACACAATTATTTTGCCAATCAATTTACATTTCTCCTTAACAAGCCTGACAGCTACTTTTAAACAAAACGTTATGAAATATTCTCCAATTAAGTAAAGAATTATTTAACAGATAAATATTCTTAATGGGGCTCTCTCGTGGTTGTAAATGAGCTGTGCACCTGATTAAACCTCACAAGCTTGTCTGCACTAGTGTAATTTTTACAAATGAGATAGAATGGAGGGATCGTAAAGAATGAATTAATCACGAAACGATCAGGAGTTCGGTCACACAAGAGCTCGTTATTCACATTGGTTAAGTTGGAGAAGGAACTATTACTACCGTACAATATACGGAGGTCTTCAAGATCTGTGCGGGGCAATTTCCTCCACTGGACCCTTGTCAATTCCAGTGCAGGCGGTAACCACCGTTCAGGGAAGCCCACCTTCTGAGACATGTGACAACATGACATACCCACCTTCCGGCACACGGCACATCTACCAGAGTCTCTGTCCGGAACGAGATTTTCTATCGTTACAAGTCCTAAGGTCAAGGGGGGCCTGGATGGCTCAGTAGGTCAAGCGTCCGACTCTTGGTTTTGGCTCAGGTCATGATTTCACGGTTCATGACTTCCGGCCCCGTGTCGGGCTCTGTACGGACAGTGCAGAGCCTGCTTGGGATTCTCTCTCCCTCTCTCTCTCTCTCTGCCCCTCCCCTGCTCTCTGTCTCTCTCAAAATAGATGAATTAAATGAAATCAAAGGGAAAAAAAAAAAGAAGTCTTAAGGTAATGAGAGTGAATGTCCCAGACGCTCGAAAACCAGCTTTCATATAAGATCACCCAAGCACAGAACACTTGTCAGTGCAGAGCACGCACAGCCTGGAAAAACCAGGGAGGGAGTCTCCGTGTGAACGGGAATTTATCTCAAAAGGTACTGGGCACATACCGTGTGCCAGGCGTTGGAAGGTCCCCAGGGGTACAAAGATCAGTCCCCTATTTTCAAGGACCTCAGTCCAGGGAGGGCCACAGGGCATCACTGGAGCATGGAGAGGCTGGCCCGACGGGGGAAGAGGCTTCGTCCAGAGGGGATGCCGGAGCCCTCCGAAGGAAGGGAGCCCTTCTGGGGGTTGCTCACTCCAGGGCGCCCACACCTGCCACCGTGACCACCCAGGGACAGCCAGTCTCAGTGCATTCACCTGAGGCATGCCTGTGGAACAAGCATAACCCAAACCAAAGATGTCCTCGTGCTGGTTATGAAAGAGCGGCTCAGAGCACAGAGCTGGGCAGGGGGACAGCAGCAGTGCAGGCAGCGATGGCTTTTGTATGGATGTTAAAGTGATTCGATTGTATCAGCAGTGCGATGCTAAGAAGAGGCCAGGTGACGTTTAGATCCTACAACTCTACACGGAGATCTTTTTTAAAAAATATCTTCTTGGGGCGCCTGGGTGGCTCAGTCGGTTAAGCGGCCGACTTCGGCTCAGGTCATGATCTCATGGTCCGTGGGTTCAAGTCCCGCTCCGGGCTCTGTGCTGACAGCTCAGAGCCTGGAGCCTGTTTCAGATTCTGTGTCTCCCTCTCTCTGTAACCCTCCCCCGTTCATGCTCTGTCTCTGTCTCAAAAATAAATAAACGTTAAAAAAAAAAAATATCTTCTTACTGAAAGGCCATTGAATGCATGAACCGAAAATTCCCTTCCCCCACCAAAACTCTTTTTTAATACAATTGTGACGAGTAGGGCTCTCAGGACACAATAACTGCTTTAAATTTTTTTAATTTTTTTTAAAATTTATGACTGAGAGAGCATGAGCATGGAAGGGGCAGACAGAGGGGGAGACACAGAATCCGAAGCAGGCTCCAGGCTCTGACCTGTCAGCACAGAGCCCGACGTGGGGCTCGACCTCACAAACTGCAAGATCATGACCTGAGCTGAATTCAGACGCTTAACCGACGGAGCCACCCAGACGCCCCTACGATAATTGCTTTATGAACAGAATAACAATGGCTAAAACTTATTGAACACTTACTTTGGCCCATTATGGCTCTAAGTGCTCAAACTCTTTTACTTGCCTTGTGAAATACAACAAAGTCCACGCACATGATGAAACAGTATTAGCGGGGCGCCTGGGTGGCTCCATCGATTGGGCGTCGGGCTTCAGCTCAGGTCGTGATCTCACAGTCCGTGAGTTTGAGCCCCGCGTCGGGCTCTGTGCTCACAGCTCGGAGCCTGGAGCCTGCTTCGGATTCTGTGTGTGTCTCTCTCTCTGCCCCTCCC